ATCCTCCTTCACCATTTTATAGATCAACTTTTGTGTTTCTGATGATTTTGTGTATACGTGCGTAATCAACAGAGCTATTTATCATGGTTCAGACATGTATCTTCTAGATGATGTACTAAGTGCAGTGGATTCTCAAGTAGGCTCTTGGATTTTGCAAAGAGGACTTATGGGTCCTCTGTTGAACAAAAAGACTCGCATTATGTGCACTCACAACATTCAGGTTTCAAATCTCTCTTACAAAGAAAATTTATCGAGATCCAATGTATTTTAACAGTGCTGCCAGAATCAACGACTATTATTAGCCAGTGATCAATATTTGATAACTCTCCCGTGGATGTAGTTAAGGAGTGATTTTATTTTAAGCCTATAGCTCATCTTTTTCCAAAATCTTTATCATAGAGGATATTTTTATGACACCTATCTCGTTTTGTTTTCTCATACCGTCAAGCTCTTTCTATTTTGACAGGCGATATCTTGTGCAGATATGATTGTTGTGATGGATAAAGGAAATGTGAAATGGTCAGGAACTGTTAATGATATGCCCAAATCCATCTCTCCAACATTTTTTTTATCCAATGAATATGATATGTCATCACCGGCGCACTTGACCAACAAAAGAAAACAACCACTTTCTATCAAGAAAGCCGATATAAATGAAATTAATGAAGCTGCAGATATTGTGAAAGTGGAGGAGAGAAAAGAGGGACGAGTTGAAGTGACGGTTTATGGGTAAGAAATTGGCTTAACCATGTCTTTTTGTCTAGCTTATATATAATAAGTAGCTGTTCTATGTTTTTGTAGGAACTACGCTGCGTTTTCTGGTTGGTTCATTACAGTTGTAATATTGGTTTCAGCGGTTTTGATGCAAGCTTCCCGTAATGGGAATGATTTGTGGCTATCGTATTGGGTTGATAAGACAGGAAGAGGAGTAACACATTACTCAACTTCGTTTTATCTGGTACTAGATTCACCAGAAAACCACGGGATTTAACTCTATTTCTCTATGTTATCGCGCGAGTTTATTTACTAACTAATCTTGCAGATGGTTCTCTGTATCTTTTGCATCATCAACTCAATATTAACCTTGGTGAGGGCATTCTCGTTTGCATTTGGAGGACTAAAAGCAGCAGTGCGTGTTCATAGTGCATTAATTTGTAAGCTTATAAATGCACCTATACACTTCTTTGATCAGACACCAAGTGGAAGAATACTTAACAGGTTAGATACCAGAAAACTCTTTGCACCATGTGTCTTGTTCTTCATCTTATCTTAAGACACCAATTTTTTTACTGTTCAGGCTTTCCTCTGATCTATATACAATCGACGACTCTCTCCCATTTATTCTCAACATTCTCCTAGCAAATTTTGTTGGCTTGTTCGGGATTGTTGTAGTATTGTCCTATGTTCAGGTTTTGTCACAACTTATTCTCTCTTTTCTTAAACATGGAAGTAATATTCTTCTGTTTTATTTGAGAGGAGTTACATTAGTGTCTAATCTGTAAACAGGTTCTGTTCCTGCTTCTGCTTTTGCCATTTTGGTTTATATATAGCAAGCTTCAGGTACTTTGGCCTCTTGTGGTATTTCAAATTAGCTTATTTGATTATTACACTGCTTATAGTCAATCTGGTATCATGTTTGGTTGCCTCTTAGTAAAAGGGGAGTTACTAAGTGAAATTTGTTTCAGTTCTTCTATAGGTCAACATCAAGGGAACTACGAAGGTTGGACAGTGTTTCACGATCACCAATCTATGCATCTTTCACGGAGACACTTGATGGGTCACCAACTATCAGGGCTTTTAAGTCTGAGGTAGTTTTGGTTCTGCTTCTAGAGGAGTTTTTCTTATGATTGAATCATTTCCAGTCGTTTTGATTGAATGAATGTCAGGATTTGATTCTCCACGAACTGATAAACTTGTATGCTAATGATATACTTGTGTGCCAATTTACTTATGCTTGACAGGAGCTTTTCGTAGCTAGATTTATCGAGCACTTGACATTGTACCAGCGGACTTCTTACACGGAGATAATTGCAAGCTTGTGGCTCTCCTTGCGCCTTCAGGTACACTAAACAATCTAATTTTCCAGAATCAATTCTATCTTTGGTAGCTTTCTTTTGGAGTTTAAGATCATTGTCATTCATCTTTTGAAATATTGTAACAATGTTTAGTTTCGTGTGTTCTACAAATATGAGTATGGAATATGTCTAAAAGGCTCTGATCAGTCTAGGAAATTGGTGCAGTTGTTAGGAGCAACGATTGTCTTATTTGTCGCTGTAATGGCTGTTACCAGCTCCCGGAAAAACTTTCCAATCAGTTTTGGTACACCTGGATTGGTAAGGAATTGCAGTGTTCATAAATTTCATGGCATAACGAAGCATAAAAAAAAAATTTGAATGACAGGTGGGATTGGCGCTCTCATATGCAGCTCCTTTGGTTTCTCTGTTAGGAAGCTTCTTAACAAGTTTTACAGAAACAGAGAAGGAAATGGTTTCTGTTGAAAGGGTTCTAGAGGTAATGATTCTGATTTATCAATTACCTGTTGTCATTATGTTAGTGTTACATGAACCATGCTCTCGTGTGGGAATAGTACATGGATGTACCTCAAGAAGAAGAGTCCGGTGACCAATCTCTCAATGGTAAGTGGCCGGTTAATGGATTGGTTGAGTTTCACAATGTGACAATGAGGTACAACTCAACTCTGCCTCCGGTACTCAAACACATTTCTTTTACAATCCAAGAAGGAATGCAGGTACGGGCATTGCCGAGCACTGTGTAAATAGACTGAGTTTATCTCTCTTGAAAGAACATATTTGTTTTTCTTTTCCTTTTTCTTATCAGGTGGGAGTGATTGGAAGAACTGGTGCCGGAAAATCTTCGATCTTGAATGCCCTTTTTCTGCTTACCCCTGTTTGTAGTGGAGAGATAAGGGTAGATGGAATTAACATAAACCATCTTCCTGTTAGAGAGCTTCGTTCTTGCCTTGCTGTTGTTCCTCAGAGCCCTTTTCTGTTTCAAGGGTCATTGAGGTGAGGACTTTACTCATATTGCAGTCAGTAACCGGTGTCTTGCTAGCAGTCTCGATAAGTAAAAGTTGTGGTTTCTTGTAGGGATAACCTTGATCCTCTTGGGTTGAGTGAGGATTGGAAAATATGGGAGATTCTAGAGAAGTGTAAAGTTAAAGCAGAGGTAGAAAGTGCAGGAGGGTTAGATTCAATTGTTAAGGAATCTGGATGTTCCTTTTCTGTTGGGCAGAGACAGCTTCTGTGCCTCGCACGTGCTCTGCTCAAGTCATCTAAGATCCTTTGCCTTGATGAGTGCACCGCTAACATCGATGTCCACACAGCTTCCCTACTGCACAACACAATATCCAGTGAATGCCAAGGCGTAACCGTCATTACCATTGCTCACCGCATTTCTACAGTTGTTGATTTGGACAGCGTCCTAATCCTTGATGGCGGAATCCTAGTTGAACAAGGAAAACCTCAGCATCTTCTGCAAGATGATCGTTCAATTTTCTCAAGCTTTGTCAGAGTGAAATGTTAGAATTTGATACTTGTAATTTCTCATCTTGGTTATAAACTGCCCCGTGTTCATGATTTATTAGGGAGAAAATGAAACAGAACTAATTTCAACTGTGGTAGACATGTTTGATTGTCATCACATATCCCCTTGGCTTTATGAGGAACAAGACTGGAACGAATGCAAGGAAAATGTAACCGAGTAGACTCTAGCCCAGAGGGTCTCATTTAAGTAGAAACAGTTATGAGCATGTGACTAACTTTGAAGATTAAACAACGCTTTCTTAACATTAGTCGATAACAGAATAAAACATTAGTGGATAAACTATTCGTTTCAAGAAAGCATAAAAAGAATCTGGATCTTCACCAAATACACATGACATAAGTTTGTTTGGTATTTTGACAAATTAACATAACAATCGAATGCAAAGATTTGTTTCTCTGTTGAAGATTTTGAGAATAAAAAAGATAGATATTGCGTGCCCAGAAGGATCAAGCTTTGCGGACAATGGAACGTCTCTCTCGCTGGTACTCAACTTCACCTCTCTGGTGCATTATCAAGAGAGCCCTCCTCACCTGCCATTTTTTACATTCACACAAACATCAAAATCCCATTTGCATTAGTTAAAATTGACCAGAGATGCTAAAAGTGCTCTTGTTTAGGTACCATTGAATCGTTCATTCCCATTCTAGCCAGATCCTCTATAAGTCTTCTCTCTGATAACCGAGCTCCGATGCCCATTCTTCTTTTTATCTGTGTTTCCGCTTGCTGATTTTCACACCAACTCAATTTGTTATTACATCTCCAACCCATATACAAGGATATGATTCTTTCTTCCCATCAGGAAATAAAGAAAAATAAAAAGCATTAAAACCTTTATCTCGTTGGCCATCTCGCTCGTTATGTTTATTTGTTGATTTATCCCTGATCTTGCTGCATCCATGGTTGAGGTATCAAAAAGTTTAAAAGCTTTGCCTACATCGTCTTCTGTGGCCTCGTGGGACCTGGGAGATTTAATAATGTCAATTCACTGCACACGCCCGTAAGGCTTCAGGATTCAAATCTCTATGCTTATAGGATTACTTACAGTCTCATTTTTGCAAGCGACTCACTCAGTCTAACAATTGCTTCGAGTTGTCTGACTGTGATAGGTATTGGGGCAGCCTCTCCTGTTTCATGTGCACGTCTCTTCATATCCTGTTGAACGATATGAGTAACTTTTTTTTATCTCAAGACCAACTTTTTTTTTATATCATATTATTTTGTCAACTGTTCTAAAGTACTGAAAAAATTACCTCTCTGATCTTGACATATTGCTGCTGCAGCTTCATAGCCGCAGGTTCTGAGAGACGGGGATCACAATTTTGTCGACAGTATTGTATGTACCTAAGATGACAAGATCATTACATTTTAGAGTCACAATTTTGTATAAATACAGCAAGAACACATTGTCTTGATGAACGGAAACACACCTCTTGAGCCAATTATCTTCTTTAAAATCTGTGTTATCACCTGAAACTTTGTCCGCAGATGCATGGACCCTTATAATATGGCTGGCTATTTCCTATCAAAAGATTGTTCCAACATTAATCGTGTCTACTTAAGCAAGAAAAGAAACAAACAATCCCCATCAAACAATTACAGTGATCTCCATCATTATGCTCTGTTTCACTGTTTGCTAACATAAATTTCATTTGATTAGGCCTTAGGATAAAGATCCAGCTTACCTTGTCTTGTGAATACTTCCTAATGTCCTTGACAATGAAGATAAGATCAAATCTAGAAAGAATTGTTGTCTGCAAATCAATATTGTCCTGAGCAGTCTGCACACCCCAAAAAATCCCCAAAGAATATTGCAAACAAGAATAGGTAAAATCATGATATTGACAAAGAAGAGTACCAGACTTCAAACCTTAAGGTCATCATAGCGACCAGAGGGCGGGTTAGCAGCAGCAAGCACAGAGGTTCTAGAATTCAGGACAGTTGTTATTCCAGCTTTTGCAATGGAGATGGTCTGCTGCTCCATTGCTTCATGAATAGCAACCCTAGACATATGAAAAAACCTTCTGTCAATTCTACTCATCAAGACGAATTAAAATTGTCTACCCTATGATTCAGATTTTAATAACCTATCTTCCGGTCTCATCTTGTCAAATTCATCAATACACACAACGCCTCCATCAGCCAAAACCATAGCACCGCCTTCAAGATAGAACTCGCGCTGCAATGAATATAGTGTAAAATAACAAAAAATCTGACATACCAAACTGATTTTGAAAATATCATAGAGCAGCAAATAAGACATACAGTGCTGCTATCTCGAATCACAGAAGCCGTAAGCCCAGCAGCTGATGAACCCTTTCCTGATGTATAAACAGCTATTGGAGCGGTCTTTTCTACAAACTTAAGAAACTAGAAAAAAAAAAATAAGGATTTCAACATCTAAGCTACATGTGCTGGAAATGACAGACTTTTTGTAAGGGTTGTAACAGTAGAACAAAAGGATGTAAGAAGTCTCAATAAAAAAATACTGAAGTCATTTTAAATCATTGATACTGAGATCATAGTAAGAACCTGTGATTTCGCAGTTGATGGGTCTCCAAGGAGCAAGACATTGATATCACCTCTTAGTTTCACCCCATCGGGTAGACTCTGAATTACAGATAGAAATGTATATAATTATATAAAAAAATCTGCATCCAAGTGCACAGAAAATGAAACTGAAACATCAGTTACCTACCTTCCTCGATCCCCCAAAGAGAAGACACGCCACTGCTTTCTTCACGTCCTCATGACCAAATATAGAAGGTGCGATCTTGGTGCATATGTTCTTGAATACATCTTGACTGTCAGCAAATACTTTGAATTCTTCCTCCTAAAAGTAATATTATCAAAGACAACACTGATTAATAAAATTTCACAATAAAAGAGCATAAAGTGATGTTCCAAGCAGACCAAACTGGTTCATACTAACAAGAAGCACAAAGTATTTGAACAAAATGAAAACACCATCACATTCACTTGAGAGTTACACGAAGAACAAAACTTCATAAAGCAAACAGCTACATAAGACATTTAGATTCAGGTAACTACTAGAGAATTGACTGTCCGGTACCACAGTTTCCCAAAGATCAGCCATGTCGACTTCAATACTTCGTTGGGAAATCATGAATGGCGTAGGCTTTTAAATGAAAAAAAGTGAGTTCCAAATGATGCAATACTAACTTCGTCAGGCGTGAAGTTGGCAGGGCCACGGGAACTGGCCTCATTTGTGTCTTCCAATCCAACAACTCTGATATAAGGCTGCCGAATTGCAACTGCTCCTTTATGCCTACATCAGAAGGTAGGAAAAGACGTCCATCATTGTTGGTACTTTACCAGAAAACAATCTACACTCTCATTAGACATAAAATAAAAGCTTACGAATTAGATGATGATGAAGCTTGGAAAATGCTGTAGATACCCATTACTGTCAGTCTGGTTCCAGGTACAATTGTTTGTACAAGATGCCGATCAACTGAGAGAAGCATATTTCTTGGAAGCTCTCCAGTAGGAACATCCTTCGCAAGTCATAAGCATTTCATATACAACTGTTCAAACAGAAAAATATTTACCGTGTAAATGAACAGATGTATACCTCCGGGTTCTCCTGTAGCTTTAACGTCTGTTGATCGACATACTGGCTCCTATCAGGAACCACCATCCATGGATCAAGAGGGCAAGGTTCTTCTCCAGGCTAGAAACAAGGTCCAATTGGTCTTATCAAAACTCAGGACAACTGCAAACTTAAATCACCAAAAAGAGAAAGAAATCACACAAGAACCTGTGGAATGTTATCACATGATCGAGGAACAATGGCCCCACCAAGGCCTGGACGACATGGAACTTCCCTGGTTTTCCTACAATTCTTACATACTAAAAAGACATAAGTGGCCTTCGCCTTAACTCTTGAAGCCGCAATGCTAATCCCAGAAATTTTCACCAGCTTTGATATGTATTGGGCCTGGCAGAAACTAAGAGTAAATCTCCAGAAACTACATAACAGAGAAAGATTGAAGTCAGATACTAAAGAAAGACCAACCCCAAGTAATCGCATTGACACTGGATCCTCTCTTGAAGTCACCAAAATCTGCACATCCCTTGGCGTAGGTTCCACCATTTCCCCTGCCTCTCTAACCTCCCTCATTTGCAATCCAGCAAGCACTTCACCAGCGGCTTTCTCGAACTGCGTGATTTGAATCATATTTATATGAACTAAATAGCAAAAACTCAAACACTAGAGGAGATGGCGGTCCTACCACGGGGAGAAAATCGGCAGGAGCGGAACG